GTACAGACAGGTTACACTTAGGTTATATCTCACCTTATAAATAACCTAGCTGTAACCTGCGAAAAGATTAAAATATACATATCTCTGTGTCGCTTTCTGTACACAAATATTTCTCCTCAATTTGGTTTCTTCTGCATCGCATCGACAGATACTTCCCCATTATTATTATTATTATTATTATTATTATTATTATTAATTTTGACCAACTGCTATAAAAAATTGAAACCCTGTAGCTCTTCTCACATGGCTTCGACAAATGTCAACAACTCGAATGCTCTTATGTGATCGAAAGATTGTTTCCATAGCCGTCCTTCCAAAGTCGCTGTTAAATAAATTTAATTATTTATCTTCCTATTTAAATTAAATATTTCTTTAATGATTTTTGAGCTAAGTCAACCATAATAAGCTTCAATGCTGCATGTTTGTATTTTTTAAAGGAATAATTCTTCCTTCCCTTGTTTTTATGGCCTTGCAACATCTTGTTGTCTTTTTTCTTTTTTAGGCTAAATTATATTGCTATTAAATAAATAAAATTTATATTAAATTAATTTTAAAATAAACCTAATTAAATATAGTTCAAGATATACTCAAATTTTCTTCCTTCTCAAATAATCAACTGTGTGCAGACAACAGTAACTCCATTGTGTTATTTTAAGGCAAAAAATGGGCTGACAAATGACCAACTCATGTTGCCATTATCTTCATTCGGCCCAAAGATTGACACGTCCCAACTTTTGTATGAATGCCAAATAAGTGGATATTTTAATGTTCATATCTTGCAAAATTATTCATTAGAATTTTGTATGAATGTCAGATAGGAGAAGATCTAGGATGTAAACAGGACAAGACGTGTCAAATGAAAGCCCGCCAATTGAAGATTCGGAGGCCCAATTGTTTGATTGAAAACAGCAAGACCGAAATTGATCAAGGCAACTAAGCGGCTCAAAAACCTGAGCAGTTTGACAGGAAGTGAAGTACGGGGGAATCTAAGTCATTCCTCACGATGGAACCAAACCTAGGGGGGAAATCTAACCTCTTGAGTGCTACAAGTCCCTTAGAGGCATACAACAAGCTCTCAGAACATCATCAAAAGTTAGTAAGACGAGTCTCAACCACCCCCGAAGACTGATAAGGGTGATTCACCCTCTCCCTGTTAGCATTTCCTTATTAGGTAAATTATATTAATTCTGATGAAAATTTCGTACTATATTGAAAAAGATATATTAAATTTTATCAAATTTTAAATAACTTTAGTTTGCAAATGAAAAAGAAATTTTAAATTTTATCAAATTTTAAATAACTTTAGTTTGCAGAAGAAAAAGAAAAAATGAAAAAGAAATTTTTTTTTTGTATATGTAAATACATAAAAAATTGGGTGCTATTATGCCAAAAAAATTGCGCATGTAAAGCCGATTTGATGCGGGGAATAAATGAACAAAGACTGGAATGTGCTCTTTAAATACGTATCTCAACTTTTTAGAAGCCAATCTCACGCACGCTAAACCCATCGGCACGCCTGTAAAAGCTGAGCCGATTTTAAAATATATAAAAAAAAAATCTTTATAATTTAATTATATTATTTGATTTATTAAATTTGATAAATTAATTTTTTAAGTTGAACACTAGCTTAATTCGAGCAAACGAGTTTGAATCAAGCTGAGCACAAACAAGCACTTCATGAGCCATTTCGAACACAAGCTGTACACGACCAAAAAAAAAAAGTTCGAATGAGCTACACACGAGCAAGCCTTAGGCTCGCTCAAGCTTGGTTCGTTTACACTCCTAGCTGAGAAAAAATTCAAGTTGTTTGACCCGAAAGTGTAGAATACAACCGACTAGGAGCCCGCTCGAGGCCATAGATAGCCTTTTAAAGCTAGCATATGTGCGTGCAGTGCTGATCATCTATGAAGCATTATGATTGTGTCATGTAGATGATGTCTTCTAGAGCTCCATGAAGAAAGACATTCGATAAATGAAGTTGTTGAACTTCACTTGTGTAATAGAGGACGACAGTAACAAGAATTTGAACAATGAGAAATTTTGGAAAAAGGTTATAGGTTTCCATGTAATTAAAGCCATGTATGTGGTTGAATCCTTGAGGAATTAATAGAGCTATGTAGCAAGCCATTTAGCCATCTAATAGGTTGAAGAACACGATTCCATGTTCCTTGTTGTTGAAGAACAACAATTTCTTATGTCCAGGCTTTTCTCCAACAGAAAAGTTCAGGAACATGCTGTAGCATGTGGGATCATCTGAAGGAGCCGTCTGATGGTAGAGATCAAATATTTCTTTTGGTTTTCATGTTCATGTTTGAAACCATGAGACCATGGGGTGGTGTAGAATTGGATGTGTAAGGGATGATATGAGGTTTGTAGAGGGAGGTGTAGATTATTCTGAGAGTGTTGTTGATGAGATCAGAGTGTTAGAAGTATCAGAAGAATGATTGGGAGTGTTGAATATATTTTTTTAAATGCTACAATTAATAGCATTATAAATGCTTCGACGCAAATAAGACTAGACGCTTTTACAAGAAGTTGTAGTATTATTATGAGAATATATATATATATAATCATTTAAACATATTTGCCTACTTAAAATACAAGCTTTCATTTAAAATAATGGACGGTTACCATATATAACACCTAAATGTTACTTTTTACATTTATACCACCCAAACCTTTCATATTTTTAATTTCTTAAAAGTAAAATACACTTTTTTTATGACTACAAAAGGTGGCATGTATGTAAATATTGATGTTTAGGTGTTAAATATGTAATTACATAGAAATTCAGTGGTATGTATGTTAATATTTAATAATAATAATAATAATAATAAATCATTGGAAAAAAAAGAATAGTAACAGTACTCAAGCGATGGCGAAAAATGGATGGCAATAGCATCCTCAATAAAGATATAAATATGAGTCAAATCAAAGTTTTGTATAAATAGATTAAAATTTTATAAAAAAAAAATTAAAATTGACAATTTATGCAATTTAGCTAACTTTAAGTCAATTTAAAGGTAAATTTTATATGATACATTATCGAACTTTTGAAGATATTTTACTAGGAGTTGTTAGTTGGTGCCATGGAAAACATGAACATCCAAATACTCTTAGATGATCATATGTTGGTGGGTGATTGTATAGAAGTTGGTAGGGTGATTTCATGAGTGACCTTTGAGGGAAGCTTGTTGAATAAATAAACATATGTAGTCATAGAATTGAGCCATAAGGTGGGAGGTAGTAGTGTTGCAAACAATAAGGCTCGGGTAGTCTCAACCACCTCATTTTGTTCAGGGATATTGGGGCAGCTGAATTGATGAAAAATATCACGAGAATTGAGATAAGATTTGAAATTATTAGAGGTGAACTCCCCACCTCCATCAGACCTGAACATTTGGATTGGTTTATTAAATTGAGTAATAATTCAATAAATTGGTGCATGTATATCTTGCTCATTACACCTGTGAGATTTGCATAGTCCCATGCCTCCAACCTATAAGGAAATTAGAGTTCTAATTTCAAGCATGAAGGATGAGGCAGCATGTAATCATTCCAACACAACTTCTTTTTAAGATGATTTACATGCATATCACTTAATTCTAATGTATTTATATATCTAACTTCTAAACTTTAATTTTTGCATGCATGCCATATAATCCATACATGAAAATGTATATCCATAGTGAGATTTTTGATGTGATAAGAAATATTTGAGCAGTATAACTATAGTAAGTAGAGCTTAGGTGTTCGATATGTAAATACGTAGGAATTGGGTGGTATGTATGTAAATGCCCATTTTTTATTACTCTTAGTAATTGTCTAAGGGGTTGGACAGTTGCTTGAGAAACCAGTTATAAAAGATGTACCATGAACCAAAGGCAACCGGCAAAACAAAACTAAAATTTCAAGTTTGTTAGAATAGCAATAATCATAATTACACCATTAGATTAAAGATATATGCACAAGACCTCATATTATTGTTACATCCACTGTCTAACAAAGAAAAATAAGATGTGATTTTCAGTCACTTGTCAAATAGAGCAAAATAAAAACAAATTTAAAAAATCATCGACAAACAAGCCATTCGCAACCCACAAAATTATGAATATAAAAAAAAAAAAATTCACCAAACTAAGAATACACAACTTAATGTTCACAAATATAATTCATAGAAGCAGGGAAATAGATGGTCCGATTCATCTGACTCAGTTCCACGGGGTTATTTGCACCATCTACGGGTGGGTAGAGTAAAACTCAGCCGAAATAGGGTTACAACTCCACATATGCACCATCTACGGGTGGGTAGAGTAAAACTCAGCCGGAATAGGGTTACAACTCCACATAAAAACAAAAAATCATCCTTAATCCCTTTTATAAGTAAAAGAGGATTAGGGCATACAAATTAGAAAATTTTCAAATATAGAAAAGATCTTATAATTAGATCTCTTCTAATTAGATTATATAATACATAGTTTCTAATATACAACCATTAGATTTAATACATTTCATAATATAAACTAAATTCATTCAACAAAAAAGCTCATAAACCCTCTACCAGTAAAACATCCAACTGCTGATATCTTCAACAAAAGAATAAAGAATATTTATCTGACAATACAGTGAAAAGATTAACAAATGAAGGATTATAATTTATAAATTTCTTCATAAGCCATTCCATGTAATAAAAAAAATCCAATCAACGATTCGCCTAGTTCAACATTATCTCACAAGTGTTATTTATGTTTGGCTCATTTATAAATCGATCGCAAAATTTGTGTTCTTCTTCATCTTATAATGAACAATTCGAACATTAATTTCTTAATGAGCCAAATATGAACAATAAGCTTTTTCATAGCCCTGCGAAGGCCAAAGATTGTTTGGTTGCAAGTAGGATTTAGTGTTGTTAGGATTTAGTAAATCTGTTAAATCCACCCTTCTCGTGGATTTAGCACCCTTCTAGCCCTGCGAAGGCCAAAGATTGTTTGGTTGCAAGAATTTAGTAAATCTGTTAAATCCACCCTTATCGTGGATTTAGCAAGTCCGGATTTAAGTCGAATTGAAGCTAAAATTTGGGACCTTAAATCCGAAATTTAGAAATTCACAGAACTCCTGCATTTAACGTTTGGCTGGATTTAATAAATCAGGTGATAAAATCCAATTCAAAGAGGCTACAACCCCACAAACTCCACACTAATTGCAAAAGCCTCATCACTCATCTGCTCAGCCAAACCTTCCAAAACCTCATAAATATCAGGAGACACTGGGCTTGACCTGTCTCCCACCACAAAAGGCATGAACCCATTCCCCAAATCAGCCCAAGCACATCCTGGAGCCTTCCTCACCCCCTCATCCCTCATCAACCTCCTAACCTTCGCCAGCTCCCCCCACCAATTTGCCGCAGCATACATGTTCGCAATAAGCACATAATGCCCAGCATTATCTGTCTTCATCTCCAACAGCCTCATTGCAGCCTTTGCCCCTATCTCAGTATTTCTGTAAACCTGACAAGCTCCAACTAAAGCAGACCACATTGCAGAAGTCGGTCGAAAGGGAACTTTGTTTATCACCTCCTCTGCCTTCTCCAAAAGACCAGCTCTGGCATACAAATCCACCATACAAGAGAAATGCTCCATCTTTGGCTTAATGCCAAAGGTGCTTTCCATCTTGTTAAACAGTGTTTCACCCCTTGAAACCAGTCTAGAGTGGCTGCATGCAGTGAGCACCGCCACCATGCTGACGTGATCCGGTTTGATCCCACAACTGATCATCTCATCGAAAAGCTGAACTGCCGTGGAACCCTCCCCTTGCATTCCATAACCAGCTATGAGTGAGGTGTATGAGACTTCATCATGATCAGCCATGGCATCAAAGACTCTCCGAGCTGCAGAGATTCTTCCTGACTTTGAGTACATGTCGACAAGAGAGTTCCACAGAAGGAGGTGTCCTCCGAATTCGTGCTTGGCGATGTAACAGTGGAGCTCACGACCGTGCTGAAGATTAGCAACCCGCGCACAGAGGGCAAGAATTGTGACAACGGTTACGTAATTAGGCTGGAGACCCGAATGCAATATTTTCCGGAACAAAAGAGAAGCCTCCTCTGCTCTGTCCTCAATCGCAAAGCCAGCAAGCATGGCGTTCCATGTGATCAAGCTTGGATTTTTAATCATTTGAAGCAGAAGATGAGCAGTTCCGATGTCTCTGCACCGTGAGTACATTGTTATCAGAGCATTCCTCACGCTCTCAAGATCATCATAAACCAAGCGGACTGCGAGCCCGTGAATCTCCTTCCCCAATCTCAGCATCCCAATTCGAGAGCAAGCGTTTAATCCAATAACAAAGGTGACGAAGTCCACCCCTGACTTGCTCAGTCTCATTTGAGAGACAAATTTCAATGCTTTGACATGATCCCCCTTCTGCAGCAGGCCACCAATAATGGTATTCCATGTCACAGAATTCACTTCAGAGCACCCTTCCATCGCACGCTCGAACAACTCAAATGCTTCTTTCCAAAGACCCCTCGATGCATACCCGGATATAATTGAATTCCATGATACAACATCCCTTTCAGGCATTTCATCAAACAGCTTTCTCGCAACATCCAATTCACCACATTTCAAATACATGGCGACCAAAGCATTCGTCACGAATAAATTGAAACCGATTCCGCTGCTCTCAATGCTCCGGTGAATCTCTCTGCCAAGCTCCAAGTCACCTGCATCTCCGCAGGCTTTAAGAAGAGATGGATAGGTGAAGCAATCCGGCACAACGCCGAGAGAAAACATTTGGTGGTAGGCGGCCAGAGCCTCGCCGGAGAAGCCAGCTCTGACATAAGCGGAGATGAGCAGCTTCCATGGGAGGGCGTAGGGGGATTCCTCGGCGATGGCAGCGGCAGGAGGGAGGAGACCAGTGGAGATGTAGAAGGAGGTGAGGAGGCAGAGGAAGGAGATGCGGTGGAAGAGACCGAAGGAGATGGAGAAAGCGTGGAGCTGCTCGCCGGAGGGGATAGAGCGGAGATCAGCAGCAGATGCGAGGAGAAGGTGGGTGGGGTGGAAGAGGAGATGGGAGGAAGGGGAATGGAGGCGGAGGAGAGAGAAGGCGGCGAAGGCTTCGGGGAGGCGGCGGAGGGAGGCGAGTGTGGTGATGGATTCGATTAGAGGAGACAAGGTGGTGTCTTTGGTGAGGCGAGGGGAGTGGGCGAGGGCTGCGGTAGAATGGTGGAGGAGAGAGAGAAGGTTTGGTTTGTTTATCCATGGGACAAGGAAGCGAGTTGGCGGGGAAAAGAGGGGTTTTGAAATGAGGCCACCAGAAGGCATCTAAGGGAGGAGATCCTCCTCAATTACTCTAAACCAATTAGTCCCATATTCCCATTCCCTGAACTTATCTACTAACAGTGCTCTCAAAAAAGCTATCACTTCGAATTCAGTTCTTCTAAATAAATCATGTTCGAATCATTTGTTAAGTGAACGACTTATATATAAAATAAATTTTATAAGTTTGAATTACAAATGGCCAAATAATTCTTGAAAATTTTACATTACCACCACTCAAAATATTAAATATTTCGTTTTAATCATCCAAATTTTAAATATAATATTTTCGCCACCCAAAATTTTAAATATAATATTTTAATAACTCAAAATTTTCACTCAAAACTTTCATTAGTGAATAATCGATGGTGGGTTTAATAAAAAAATGATTAAAATATTATATTTAAAATTTGGATGGTTAAAATGAAAATATTCAATAAATAAATTATATATATATATAACTTTAAATCAACAGTTTGTGTTATCATGTGATTTTATATTTTTTATTATATACAAATGATTCAAGACAATTGTGCAAATTACAATGCCCCTATATTTTCACCATTTATTATTTTTTTATTTGGGACATTTACGTACACATCTCAATTACTGCATTTTTACATTTCTAATACAAACTTTACCATTTACAATTATACCACATCAAAAACATCACTATTTTAACTTGTTGAAAAAGAAATAAAGAATAAAATATACATTTTCAACGTGGCATATATGTTAAAAAGGCACTTAAAGTGTCAGACATGTACTTACTTGGAATTAAGTGGTGTGCATGTAAACCTTACCTCTTATTTTTTATCATAAGCTATCTTCATTTACAAATATATCACTGATAAAATTTTAATTTACATAAATTATATTTTTTAGTGTATATAATTTGATATAATTTCTTGAAAGTATCATCCTTGCAGAACTTCAGTGAAAAAGTTGACATTAAACCATCTGCACCATACAGTAATTATGAATCCATATAAATCATATTAACATGGGGTGATTTAGACTTGTCAGCCAAATAGGACTTATAGTGTTGTAAGATACTAAATCCTTCAAATCAACCGAACAAAGAAAAAGCCCTAATGATATACTGAAGAAAAAGGCAAGGCAAGGACATACAAAAGAATGCATGTTCGGAACAAAGCTTATTGATAATTTACAAAATTACCCAAATGCAATCAAATTCTTATTATATTGTTTTTGGAAGTTTAATATACATACCACAATTTAATTCCAGCCAGATTCCATAGCGTTTGTGGCAAATTAAACTTGAAATGGATCAATATAAAATTTAGCATTACTTCTTGGTGTAATTTACATGCATACCACAAATTTTAAATGCTTGCATATCTAACACCCAAATTTTAATATTTTAATTTATAAAACTTGTATTTCACTGTTTAAAAAGTTACCATTTATATGATATTAGAGATTTGGATGCCATGCACGTAAAGATGAAAATTCAGGCAACAGTTATGTAAAGATATCATAAGTGGGTGGCATGCATGTATGTGCCCCTTCTTAGTTTTAAATGACCACGCACTGATTTGTTTGCTTATAGGGATCTAAAAGGATAAGAATTACATTTGGGAAAACAACCAAAAAAAAAACTGAAAATGTGGACTCCAATCTGCAACATAAAAGTTTTAAGGAAAACAAGAAAATAGACATGATAAATACTCCTATTGGCATCTATGGTATTTTTTTATTTTCATTTTTTTTTTTTGGGTGGAGCTTGGTGAGCGCTCGAACTTGACACTCGTTGAGATTTTCTAATTTGTTTTCAACTAATGCACTACAGGTCCGAGCGAATATACTGCAGAGTTACTTGCGCCCAGTGGAACCAATGCGCGGTTTTCCCTTCACCTCAGATTCCTGTTTCATAATATAATGATCGTAGATTGTTCCAATAAGCATCCAAAGTACAATAAAATTTGTTATGGGATATCATTAGAGAAGAATATTTATCGATGTAGAGAAAAATAAGATATAAGAGCCAATATAAAATCTTACAGACCTGCGGAGAATGGAGATAGATGTATGTCTTGGCTGTTGCAGGATTATAATTTTCTGCACCCTTGCTCCAGTCATAACAGACCTGCATGGTTTCAAGGTACTATTATATTCAGCATTCAGAGAACTTTGGAACACAAAGCTGCAGAAAGAACTTTCAATTTTAGGGCTTCAGTCATTCTGTTCAATTAAAAGTAACGTATAAGGCTGGTGATAGGAGTGGAGCGGGATAAAGAAATATTAGAAAAGTAATATTTGACTTCATAACAGCACAAGATATTATAATAGCAATGCATCACTAAGAAAAGGAAATAAATTACTTTTAAAAGTGATAGAATCAAACTTTTACCAAAGGGAAAAATCTTCCTGGCAAACCACATAAAGACTTTACAAACATTATAAGGAAGTTTATGGGAGGAAGTGCACAATTGATAAGGAATAGTTATGAATACTAATGTTAGAAGTACAAATAAAGTTGTCAAAAGTATTATTACAATAAGTTAAAATAGTTGGAACAGTGAGAAGTTGCAAATATTTCAAGACAGGTTTTAAGAGAGTCGAATTAAATTATATGGTTTGAAAAAATTTTGATGTGGCATAATATGCCTAGTTGAATGAAAAGCATTGTCCTAGTAAATTTAAGAAAAATTAAAAATAAATCGTACAAAAGTGAAGAGAGTTACATGTTTAGTTTAAATAAAAAAATAATAATCAAACATTGTAGAGAGTAGTGCAAGGGTTTAATGAAATTAGAAAAAGCAACAACTGTGATAGAATAAAATACATGAAATTAGAAAAAAAGTATATTCAAGAGATTTTTTAAAGAGGAAAATTGAAATTCTATGGTTTAAACAATTTTTTTGTGCAAGACAAGATGCTTAGTTGCATGAAAAGATAACCATAGTAGTCTTAGGAGAGCCCACAAATAAGTTTTTCAAAAACTAAACGGACCAAGTGGACTGTCAAAACGCAAAATGTTATCAAGGAAATAAAATGTATTTTAAAAAGTGTGAAAAAACACAAATTATGCTTATAACCATAAGAAAAATAAAATTCTTGCAAAGAAGATAACAGGCAAAGCAAAACATACAATATAACAGCTAACAAAAATAAAAAAAATGTCCCGCAATATAGATAAGGCAGATGGTGAATTTAAAACTTTGATCAAATTACATGAATTAGAAGCAAAGATAGTTATTTTTTGGGTTAAATAGCAAGATATGAGAAAGATGACGTTATTTTGCAAAACTTTTAAAGGTAAATCATTTTAAAAATGTCATAATCAAAATCATAAAATTATAGATTGATTAAAAAGGTAAAATTGAATTAACTCTAAAGAAGGTGCCTTGAAGCAAATGCTTCAACATAGATTCAAACCTCTTTTAAGATTTAGAGAGAAGTTGGAGATTTTAGAATAATTTGTTTACCAAGTATTTTCAATAAAATCATAAAAATTAAAAGGCTGTCAAATAAGTGCAGATGTCAAATTGTGATATTTGGATTTAAGAAAAAAGAAAATATTTAGATTTTTTATTATTAAACTAGAGAGTTGGATAAAGAAGTTATTGTGTGTGTGGTGAAACAAACATCAATATTGCAGAACAGATTTGAATTTATATCATGAATATCCACCATATCAATAATCTGTGTGTGAAGAAAATTAATAAAAATTAAATTGAGAAAAGAGAGTATTGTTATATGATCTTCATTAAACTTTAGAAAACATATGATTGAGGATCATGAGAACAAACTAAGCATAAATTAAAATAAAAGATATATCTCAAAGCTATATTGAAATCCTAAAGCAGTATATCATGGATCATTGCATAAAATTAAAATAAACTGATGACCAAAGAAATCCCAAACATAATAAAATTACATCAAGGAAGAATATTTTGTATTTCTATGAATAGTTATGAAGAAGCTCAAATGATATTCAAAACTAGGTGCATTGGTGCATGTTATTTGCAAATGATATAATTTTGAGTAAGGCCGCTTCCTAAAAAAGAGAAAAATATTTAGAAAATATAGGCCTAATGTGCACTAAAATGAGGGTGGAAGAAGTGGCAGAACCAAAAACTTTTTAAAGAGGGGGGCGATAACGTTTTTCAAAAAAAATATTGTAAACACTAAAATCTAAAAAAAAATCATCACTTTCAAAGTGGGGGCGTAAACTTAGGTATGACCCAGAGCTGGCCAGAAGTAGGTGTGGGCTAGAGTGGGCCTGCAGCACTTGATGATCACCTTTTCACCTACTTGGAGTGAATATATGAAATCCATGTTGTTGAGTGATATGGAAGCTATTTTAAGAGTGTAAAACCCAAATTTATTTCTAAAGTAATATCCATCCAATTTTAGGATCTAAATAATTCATCAATCTTTTAAACAGATTTTCTAACTTCAAACAAAAATATATGTCCTGAAGTGAAAATGGAATCAAATTACATATCAATGAAACGATAATTGAAACAACACTTTAAACATATGCAAAAAAGACAAATCAAGGAAGCTGTAAACAGTACATACCTGCATAAGAAGCAGTATATACTGATGGTTCAAGATAGATATCACGAATATCATGCATGAAAGAAACAAAAAGATTGAGCCATTTTTCTAAATCTCACCTAAGATGTCTAGGTGAGTCCCTTGAGAGACAAAATGAGGTTATAATACCAATCAAAATATCGGGTAGGGGTAATAAATCCAAGTTTCCATGAAGAGAGAGAGAGTTCCTCCATGCGCACATGTAGTTTTGGTATGAGTTGATTTCTCAAACTATAGGAGAGAATCACAATTTGTGAAGTCGTTTTAAAAGATGCTCTTTTTGCATCTTCTGGTAAAGGAACCCTATCATTCAGCTTTCCTTCTCATCAGATCCCGAACTCGAACAAATGCAGTAAAAAGAATTAAAAAAACTGAACTCAATCTAGACCTCATGAAAAATTGAGGTCAACAAGGTCTCAAATAAGTTGACGCCAAATTGGAAAAGTAACAAGTTTCTGTTTGGAAGTTTAATATGAAAGCAAACTTCGGAAGCCGAACTTAGCAGTTGGCTCAAAATTCCCGCACTGTACCTATCATCATATGGTATTCTGAAGTTCCTGTACTAAGCTACTAATCATCCTCAGTTAGCTTATACTTGAGAATCACTCCAATAGAAAAGAACCAAAATCTATAAGCAATAGAAAACACTAAAAAGCAATAAATTCCAATTAACAAACTAAAAACCAATTTTTTTTAACAAGCAAAGCAACAGGAACTAATCAATTTCTTTGACACAATGGTGACTCCAAAAAAAAGGGACTCCAAAAAAGACGGATTAGTCATCGCAGTGCACAAATTCCACGAACTCTCATCCATCAAAATCCTATTCTCCTTGAACTCGAATAAAAACCATAAAAATCATCAAATGAAATCTCTGGAAGAGCTGCTTCCCCTTCCAAAAACTGCAGAACTTGTCTCATACAAGGCCCCGCCCCTGGCGACGGCATGCGGGAGCTACGTGAGTGCAGAAGCAGGAGATGCGGGTAAAATGTGGTGCTGGGAGACAGTGAAGGAAAGCTGGTGCTGGTAGATACGGAATAGTGGGTGCTGGGAGGCAGACAGCATAGGTGCTGTGCGGGAAGAAAAATTCCTGCTTACAAAATGCTGCTGCATTGGTATAGAACGGGAAGAAACTTTCCTGCCCAGTGTTTTGCAAGCAAATTTTTAGGGGACCGACCCCCTAACTCCACCAGTGGGTGGAAGGGAGGGATTTAAAGGCAACAGAACAATAAGAGGAGCATTTTCCATGGGTGAGAAATGGGTAATTTTGATTAATACGTACTGGATAAAGTGATACATGAGTGTAATAGATTTGGATATCTCGAATCAATCACAAAAGATTAATTATGTAAATGATGATAAAGCTTATAGAATTAAAATATTGGATGGTTAAAAATTTAAATGCCTCATAAATACTATGAGATGAGAATCACATTGAGGAATAAGAGTATATTTCATAAGATCGTGAGCAGACAAAATATTTTATTCATTTGAGTGTTGGATGATAACAAAGTCGGTGTTAATAAAATTAGGTGTGGCATAAATAAAAATAAGTCTGGCACATTACCAAGAATATATTAAAAATTGTTCATAAGATAAAGCACTATAGCTGACAGTCTACCGAGGATAATGAAATTAAATCAATCGTTTGGGCATGTACAACAGAAATTAACAATGCATAAACAAGAAGGTTGTATATAGTTACTGTGTAAGGGGTAGCAAGAAAAATAAATAGAACCAAAATCACAAGAATAGAAGTTCTGTGAAAAAATACCACACAAAAATGTATTTACCACATCAAGAAGGCACTCGAAAGTGCGTTTTTTTTGGGGGGGTTCTTAAAAAACGATTCCAAGCTAAATAGAGAGGCATGACTCTCACATTCAGAAAGAAATAACATCGGTCATAACTCCCGTGATAAAAGAAAGAAACAAGAATTATGACATATTAATAATTCTAACTTCTAGAAATAGAAAATACCAAAAATAGAAACTTCCTAAAAATCCAACTCCCCTCAAGTTGGAGCAAAGATATCTATCATGCCAACATGCTTACAAGGAGCTGAAAATTACGTCTGAACAATCCCTTGGTGAAGATATTTGTTGTTTGTTGAGCAGTAGGGATAAAAGGTATACAAATAGCACCATAATCAAATTTCTATTTTATGAAGTGCTTGTCAATCTCCACATGCTTCGTGCGATCATACTGCACTAGCATTTCAACAATGCTTATGGCTACTTTATTGTCCCAACATAACGTCATTGGCATGGTTATCCGGATCCGTAGCTCTCCAAGAATTCTTTTCGACCATAGCATCTCACATACTCCATTAGTTACTCCATTAGTCATAGCCTTCTATTCTGCCTCAGCACTACTCCTTGCAACCACATTATGTTTCTCACTTCGCCATATAACCAGGTTTTCCCACACATATGTGCGGTATCCAAAAGGTGATTTGTCAATAACTGAGTCTGCCCAATCTGCATCAGTGTATATCTCTATGCTCTTTTGTATAGTTTTCTCAAAGGGTAAGTGATACAA